GGTCTTCCTGTCTCTTGCGTAACAGGAGAACAATTCAAAAAAAGGGCTGCCCAAAGAATTAAGGATATAGAAGCACAAAATGATATAGCGATCCTTAGTAAGGTGGGTAACTTGAAATGGCTGAGTAAATACAAGCGTACTTTTCAAGTAGACAGCTATTTGAAGTTACAACTGCCAAAACACCTTAGGGAGGTATTTATGCAAGCGAGATTCGAACAGCTTGACACAATGGTCAGATATGAGAGATTCCATTCTATACCTTACAATGAGCATCTCTGCATTTGCGGAGCAGCAGAGGTAGAAGACCTGGCTCACATACTATTTGATTGTTGCCTGTACAAGAGGGTGAGAGACAGGTACCTCGGTCTATACACCAAACGAATGACTCATTGGGATCCCCATATCAAAACAACTTACCTTGTGTGCGGCCAGAACTTGAAAATAACATTTAACACAGCACAGTATTTAAACAAAATGATTCAGTTGAGATCTGCATATGTGGGACTGATTGGGGTAGATTGCAAGGGTGACTCCAAGATATAATTTTATCATATTTTATCTATATTTTAAATTACTGTACTCTATTTTAACTTCATTTTAGACTGTATTTTACTCCAATTTCATCTTAAGTTCCATTTTAAACTGTATTTTATCAAATTTTATTTTAAATTGCTTTTATCAGACTTTGGTAATGATTTGTTGTTGGAACTTTGCACTTTGATATGGCCCAAGGGCTAATCAATAAAGATTTATTATTATCCCCTCCTCATGAAGCCATTCGTAGATCCTACTGTTCTGGACACTGACTAGCACTGATGATGTTACCTAGTTTGGGTAATGAAACATTTGCAAGAAAACAAGCTCAGAGAACACCAAGGATCCCACATGTCAGAGTTTAGCTACAAATATTCTCCCTTATCGGACACTTTCCATCCAGTCTCACAACTTCCCTTATGGTTGAGAAGATGGTGGCATTGCAACCTCAGAGGATCCTGGAGCAAACAGATTATTCTTTTCACTCATGTTTCAAGCCCACATATGAAACATAAACAGTATTGGTCACAGTCATCTGGTGGGATAGGGATGGACATGGTGCATCCATCCTTGTTTTTCTTGACCTCTTAACTGTTTTTGTTACCATGGTATACTTTTCAGCTAATTTAGGGAGTTGGGGATGGGTGGCACAGCTCTGTGCTTGTTCACCTCCTTCCTCCAAGGCAGGTCCCAATTAGTGTTGATAGGGAACAAGAAGTCTAGCTCACAGCCCTCTTTTGAGGTGTGTTGCAGGGCTCGGTACTTTCTCCGCTACTTTTTAACATCTACATGATCTACATCAGGCATGTCAAACTCACGATGTCACATGACATCGCGTGACATATCGTGACTTTTCCCCCATTGCCAGCAATGGGGTAGGTGCAGTTTTGTTGTGACGCATCCAGCCCGTGGGCCGGCAGTTTGACATGCCTGATCTACATCACCTACATCATCTATACTGATCTACATGAAACCACTGGATGACATTATCTATTGCTTTGAGATGAGGTACCATCAGTATATGTATGATGCCTCAGTTATATATCTCCATCCCAGGTGAAGTGAGTGATGCTGTGGATGTTCTCTCAGTGCCTGGAGACTGTGGAGGCCTGAATGGGGAACAACAGACTTCAA